GGCTAGAATTTGGAAAAAGACCTGTAGCCCACAAACATTCAAAAACAAATTCGTAGCAAAGGAAATAGTCAAACAAAGGAGATGTTATATCCCAGGCTCGACTAAAAGGCTCGTTGAGACCTGAGGGCTTTTCTCGGATCAGTCTTGCTTTGGCTTCGCCCTATCATGCTGGCGCGGAAGCTACCACAACTAAAAGAAAGAAAATGAAAAAGTTTGTTGCAGTCAAATCCGCACTGCTCATGCATGATGTCGTAAAAAAGAGAATTTCAAAAGGGACCGCTCTAGCTAGCTCAACAGCCCCTCCTAGTTCGAGAAAGAAAGAAAGGGAAGAAAGTGATTTGCGCCGCCTACCTGACTGGTGAAACTCAATAGAAAGACTAGGAGAAGCGAAAGTCAGATGTCCCCACCGATACAATACCTGATCGCTTCTCAAACGGCGATGTCGATACTCTTTCAACTCCAAGCTCTAAGAACTCGAAGTCAAACATCTTCGGGAAGAAGCGAGAAAAAGTGTCTAACCTCCAGAGCAAAGTCTTCTTATCAACGCTCCTTTGAGTCGCCCTGCGGATCCTCTGTAACAACCAAAAATTTCGCCTTAGTCCCCTTGTTTTTCGACGGTGTTTTTTTGGCCCGAGCGGCTTTCAAAGTGGATTTCAGGTATAGACCTTCTTCTCTTGATCTTGGGTATTTTTTCTTTCATTGAAGATGAAAGGGAATTCCACTTAGGTTTTAGGAATGTTGCTAATAAGGTTCAGGTTTGAAGTTGAGCTCGACCAAACAAACTTTTCGAACCAGTCAGCCTTTCACCGTCCCTCGATCGTTCGCTCGCCCATACAAGTATCAATCGAGGTTATGCAAGCACGTCACAAACATACGCATGCGGAAGCTATCAAGTAAATAAGTGACATACAATATTACGGGCTCACGCCCAACCAAGTACTATTATATCACAAAGTACAATGGAATGGTCCTACAGCTTGCATACACGGTTCACACCAACACCTTAGTGCACGCAGGCACACACATACATGAATACAAGTACCAGCCTTACAGAATTTATACCAACTCAAGCATCTACAAGTATACAGTACACAGACTTGCTCACACACTCGTTCACTTATCTGTTTGCCTTGCACCCTCGTGTTTCGCTCTCTCGCGCATGTGTCTGCCTCAGTCTATTTATAGGCCTCAGACCCAGCAGTTACAACAGCTTGGTAACCGCCCAACAGTTATCTGCAACCGCCCCTTGGCACGTGCACGCATCCATCGGACGCCAACTCAGCTTCATGCAACAATGGGCGCCAACCGTCGTGCTTTATCCTTTTCCAACTCCCTCGCAGGTTAGAAAACCGTCAAGGCCACGTAGGAGAAACCTTCCAGGCATCTACAGGGCTATCCTTTTCTGCCTTTCCAGTCATAATTTTTGAAAGGCGTTTAGGTGGTCTGCTGTTGAGCTTGGTTTGGCAACAAACTTCTTCTCTTCCGCCTTGCATGCGAGAGCAGTGTATGGAAATGGAATGGAACGGCTATCTCTCTTGGCCTTCCGACCTACTTACTATTCCATACAGCCCATCTTGTCCAAGGATTCCTCTGCTGCTGGTATCGTCTAACAGAAAGAGGCTTTTTTTAAGAGGAGCAGAGCAAGTCGCGTTTACAGCCAGCAGTTCTTATGGGCTCCCTCTAGTATTCCCATAATCTCCTTCCCTTCAATATTCCATCTTGTCTTGCGGCGCTCTATCCTTCCAAACGAGCCTATGCTCGGGGAGCACTCCTTCTATCATTCATAAAATATCTTTCTCTCTCCTTGGTCGTAAAGCTTCGCTTTGCTTTCATTTACCGAAAATTCCATTGGAGAGCCGGGAGGCACAGTCTCGTACAAGCAACTTCCATCGATCTGCTTTCAAAAAGTAGCCAAGCGGTGTCAGGTTGTAAGCCTGTGGGCCAGTCTATTCTAGCGCCTCATTCTTGACATCCTCTTGCTTCACCACTACTCTATATACTGGTTTCACTACCTTTCATGCATGGGCTGGTTGATCTATCTGTCTTGATATTTTGGATCATCCAAAGATTGGGGATAATCAGGATCCCTTGGTTTGGTAAGGCAGACCTTCGCAGTTGTCCGAGTTGGTTTCTCAAGAGGCTCAAGGTCTTGCTCTACCTAATTCGATCTA